GGGGTAACGTGACCCAGCCGCAGCAAAAAAACGTGATCTAAGCCATAAGACTCGGGACCTTAATGCGCATTGATCGAAAAAGCGAAGGCATTTAATAAATGCCAATTCGGGTTTGAAGCTCCATTGAAGAACAATAGTAAGGCGCCTCTATGGTGGGAACTAAAGTCATAGTCATGTAAATGAGTATGAATTACTCATCGTTAGTCGTAGATTCTCCCGATACTCTAAATAGACATATTGCTTAGAGATTCTAATCGTAGTGGCGAAGTCCAAAAACTCTCTGTAATGTATAAATAACCATCGATTTCATGTATCTGAAACAAGTGAAGTGTTATAATAATAAAGACCATCTAATGATAAACTCCGGGATCCTAGTGGCAGTAGGATTCTTGGTTCTCGGACCAAACCTTCCACGCCTTCTTTCGAGTAGCCTTTGATTTTTGTTGTGTCTTACTTAGGTTGCGAGTACTAGCCACCACATATAGTGGACCTAGATTCTCTTGGACTGGACCTAAGTTAACTAAAGTCCTAAAACTGGTATTATAAGTACTTGGTCCATAAGTCCATGCGGTAAAACCTACAGGTTATGAGGCCAGGACCGGACTAGGACTGGACTTTACCAACCCTAGATATATTTTTTTAAGAGTAATAATAATATCGTTGTATATTTATTATCGGAGGAATTGTAAATTTGATAAAAATTTTTTTTGTTTGAGCGACGTCTCTCTTCTCCGGTCATGTACATCCTTAAACGTTTAATTTCTTTTGTGAATATGATGCATTTAATGGTATATTTAGAATACTTAATCGTATTCCCGTATTTCTTGGCAGTACTACATTATTCATGATTTTAATCAATTATATGATGAACACCTTGAATACAAATTTTACCGATTTTTAATATGGGCGTTGTTACGTGTAATTAGACATGTTTTATATTAGACAGCGCTCATTCATATTCCGCAAACCTTAATAGTTAGGATGCTATATTCCTTACAACCATTAATAAATAATCTCTGCCAAGATTTTCACCTAACATTAATAGGTCTGGATAAAGAATAATGATTAAAAGGTCTATATATGTATTTACTATGAAAGAAGAACGATTTGTCCAAGGTGACTGAAACAGAAATTCAATATAAATAATGGTCGCCTAATGACGGTTATACCATTGTTTTTACGCTGCTATTTTTAATTAACCATCTATATGTATATTGTTTATTTAAGGAAATATTTATTCGTGATGTAAGTTAAAACTTACACCTCACGAAAAAATAAAAATCTATAATTTAAGAAATAAATTAATATGAAATATAAGTTCAAGAATATTTACTGGTACCATGGTGTGGATATGTTGAATGCAGGGGTAGTAACAATCTTTTGACCAAAAAATCGCCAATTCTTAAAATATGTCTTATTTTGTTCAACTTCTTTGGCAAAAGTTACTATTATTTCATCGTATTCGCGAGATTTTATCCTCATTAGTTTCGTCATTGGTGATTTGACAGCAGCCCACCCTTTGGTAATATCTTCAACAGCCTATAAATACCAAATTAATTAAATATAAATAAATGTATAATATGAAAATGGACAATCATCGAGCTTATAAAACTTACCAATTGGCCAAGTTCACCTGCCCATTTCCCAACAAAACAAGATCTTTCTTCAGTTCTAATGTTTTTATCTATTTTTTCGTTCGCTTCCATGGTTTTAAGTATATGTAAATCCAGAGGTTCGACAATTCCCCTTGATTTCATGAATAATTTTACTACGCCACAAACAAATTATAGTTTAGAATAATAAATGATCACGCGACAAATATGGATTCACCAAAGTCTCTAATCCCAATTATTAAAAAAAAGCCTGACATCCAAAATCCCAACAATTTATCCTGATAACTCATGATTCTAACAATTTGTAGTATAATTTTTAGGATGAATAGTAAGTAATTTTATAATAATTATCTAAGTTAAAATTTAATGAGTTATCAGGATAATGAATTGTGAATATGGCTTTTGGGAGATCGAGGATTATGAGAGTCGGGATTTGAACATCACGCAACGATAATAATATAGCATCGGTATACATACAAGATTCAGTTAAACGCGCAGTTGTAGGACCTTCATTATGATATTGAAAATCACTTTCCATAAATTCTATCCAACCACCTTGCTTTGTTACTCTTACTATTTCAGGAATAACCTTTCCCCATTCAGTGGCGGTGAACGCAGTTACCAATTGGCCCAAATACACGAAATCAAACGTATCGTCCAAAAAAGGTAAGCCGTCAAGTACATTTGCTTGAAGAAATTTTACATTCTCGGGTTTCTTTTCTTGTGGGAATAATGGAATCATATCTACACCGGTGAATGTAGATGATTGATATGATTTAGCCATCTCAATCGTCCATGTACCAGGTCCACATCTATAAAAAAAAAAGATATATATTATCGATAAAATGATTTGACCGATGAAAATTTCCTCAAAATTACCCAATCTCTAGGACTTTAGCCCCACCAGCCGTTAAATTTTCGTTAATAGGAGCAGAAAAATTATTTTGCCAAATTCGTTTAGATAATTGATGTCGTCTTTCTAGTCTTTTCACTTCCTCATCAATAATAAGATTAGAAAATTTAGAGCTTCTTAAGCTATTATTATGAATTCTTTTACCACCGTTGCTAAAACTCCAAATTTCGTTGAGATTTCCATCTTTATCTG